GCGGGGGGCGGGGGGGCTGGAGAGATGGCTCAGCAGTTAAGAGCACTGGCTGTTTTTGCAGATAACCTGGTTTCAGTTCCCAGTACCCACATGGTGGTTAACAACGGTCTGTAACTTCAGTTTCAGGGGTTCTGACAACCTCTTCTGGCCTCAGTGGGCATTAAGTGACATGATTGCATTGTACACATAAAATAAAAATAAATGCACTTACACCCAGGCAAAACACTCATACATATAAAAAATAAACAAATTAATTTTAAAAAGACAGTGGGAGCTGGGCATGATCACACACACATACAATCCCACACACACACACGATCACAGCATTCAGGAGGCAAAGGCAGGTGGATCTCTGGCAGTGTGGTCTATATAGCAAGTTCCAGGCCACACACCCAGTCCCTGGAGTTCCTTTTCTTTTTAAAAAATTATTTTATTATTTTTATTTTATGTGTATGTGTGTATTGCCTGCATGTAGGTAAGTGTACCCCTGTCACACAATGCCCGCAGAGGACAGAAGAGGCTGTTGGATCCCCTGGAACTGGAGTTACAGACAGTTGTTAGCTGCCATGTGGGTGCTGGGATTTGAACCCAGGTCTTCTACAAGAATAACCAGTGTTCTTGACCACTGAGCCATCTCTGCAGCCCCGATTTCCTTATTTTCTTAGTGATGTCTTTTCATTTGATAAATATTTTCAACTTCAACTTGAGGGGATTTGGAAGTTACCTAGGAGACACACCGCTAGGTGGGTCTCTGAGGATAGTTCTAGACACGATAATCTGAGGGGGAAGACTTGGGTGAGACCCAAGGGCCTTCTGGTTGTTAGATATTTATTGTTTATCTTTAGCAAGAGACTTTGCCTTGCTTTTGGGTTCGACTGACCAATCTCTTGTAGAGACATTTAATTTCACTGGTAGAAACACCAGAAATTCCCCAAATGGCTTCTCTTTCTTGTTCATAGTTTTATAGGCCTCTGTGTGTCAAACCAGGACACAGCTCTCCCCAGCTGCTAAGTGCACACTGTGCTTGTAAACAAGACCATCCTTCAGGCTGGCCCCAGCATTCTGCCCCAAGGCTGCTCTGTCTTTAAAGACAATTGAACTGGTTCTTTTTCTCCTCAATGAGTCTGAAGCACTTAAGAAAAAATTCCATTGTGAAAAGTCCAGAGACAGAGTTATTGTCTTAGCTTATTGCTTTGTGAGTTTCAAACTGCGTACTCAGGGCCCTTCTATTTTAAATGGCCCACTTCTCAAAATAGGTGTTATGGGAGCCAAGTCCCTGGCCAGATCACCCACAGCGGGCCTCAGCACGCAATGTGACCCCATCCTGATGAGTTCACCCACATCGATTTGTCCTGCAAAGGACCAAGACACTTTGGCAGTCACTAGGGTCCATGAGGCCAGACTCGGGTAGAGGACACAAACAGGGTCTCAGAAGAAAGACATTGATGGACTCTCATGGACTGGTCAGAGGACTGGGGTGATGGTTGAGCAGTTAAGAGCTCTGGCTGTTCTTGCAGAGGACAGGGGTTTGGTTCCCAGCCTCCACATGGTGGCTGACAACCACCTGTAACTCTAGTTCCAAGGGATCCAATGCTCTTCTGGTCTTCTCAGGCATTGCACACGTGGCACACTTACATACATGTAGGCAAAACACCCGTACACATAAAATAAAAATACTCTTTGAAAAAGAAAACAGCCCAGCATTCATGAGGCTGAGGCCGGAGGATTGTTGTGAGTTTGAGGCCAACCTGGGACATAGAGACTTCTAACCCAGCCGGGGCTACAGAGTAAGATGAGAGAGAGGGAGAGAGAGAGAGAGAGAGAGAGAGAGAGAGAGAGAGAGAGAGAGAGATGGGTGTGTGTATACAGAGGAGAGCACGTGT